ACTTGTAATAAGTGATGTGAAAGTAAAAGGTACCTTATTGTTGTCTTGTGTGTGAGAGTGAGTCACAAGCAAAGTCAGCCTCAACTTCCCGGGCAGGTGGGAAGGGGGGCAGTGGAAGCATGTGTGTGTGTGACCTGCAAATCAGACTAGTGTTCTCCAGATGTGTGAGGGAGCCGTAGCTGTAAGAGCGTGAGTGACACACAGACAGCCTCACAGGTGAATGTGCACCAGAGGCAACCACAGTCAGGGCCCTTCCAAGAGGCCCAGAGATACTGAGACCTGTGGGCCAACCCCAGGGTGAGGGGAGCCACAGGGACCTGTGATTTTCTAGCAATAATGATCCAGTTTGTGTCTTGAGGGTGTGAAGGAATGTGTGAAAGTGAATGGGAAATAAAAGACAGTGAATGTAGACGAATTAGAATAGAGGTAATGTAGATTGTGCATTATAAGTTTTACCACATCTCCTTAGAGGGAAGTGTACTGTGTAGAAGAATAGTGTGAGAAAAAAAAATTAATTGTAAGGGGTTGAAAGAAAAGTAGTATTTAAGCTGTTAGTGAAAGTAAGAAACAGAAGCAAGAGACAAATAGATAAGATCTTGAAAATAGAACAGAAAACCAGTAAGTTAAATACACAGAAAAATAGGAGAATAAAAGCACTTTGGGAGTTAAGTTAGCTAACAGAAATACAACTCCTTGCAAAATACAGAGTATGCAGAAGTTGATGAGAGAAACATGCAAGCTATGCAAAAAGAGAAATTAACCAATAGTACATTAACCGGAGAAACTGAGTTTTGATAGAATCATAAAATAGCAGATCCTTAATGCCTTTATTTGAAAGCCCGCTTCAGGTACTCTTCATTACTAATTCGACTATGCAGACCAAAAGAAAAAGGTTGGACTCACATCACTCTCACCCCTGGCACTGGACCAGGATTCAACATCAGCTTTTTTCCCCCTGGCATTCTGGCATTGGACCGGACTGCACCCCATTCTCCCTCTGGCATTGGGCCAGAGTCAACATCAGTTTTTCCCTCTGGCATTGGGCCAAAGTCCACACCACTCTCACCTCCGGGCACTGGACAGGATTCAACCATATCACAAGTTAATTCACCTGAGTATACTGTGATTTAAAGTTGACTCTCAGAAGGAAGAGTCAAAAAGACTGAACTGTATGGGAAAATAATTGGTATCAGAACTCTAACGTAGCTTAAAACGATTCAAGACAGTTCTGTGTAAAATATGTTGGTAAAAAGTTTAAGACTGTAAATAAGTAATTCTGGTTAAGTTCCCCAACTTGGTTCTAAAGACTCCAGGTCACTCCTCTACAGAGCACTCCCCTAGGAGAAACCAAAATTGTTAGGGAATAGACCAAGAGAGGTTTAACCAGAGAAGCGTGTAGAAGAGACTCTAAAGAGCTTGGAAGCTTCTTCTCAATAAAATTCTCCAAAAGGCAAGGCCGGGTGGGCAGGCTGTGCAAGATGACCCATACTGGACTCTTGGGAAGGGTAGTACTGATGGCTCTGATTGCTGGTGGTGCTCTGGGGAGCCCAGGAGAGCTGTGCAGTGAGTGCTACCAACCCCGCTATGAGGAGTAAGAAGTGAGCTATGGTCTAGAGTCCACATCAGTTCTAACCCTAATTGTGTTAACCTCTCCCAATTGGTCCTTTATCACAAAAATAAGAGAATGCCTTGGAAAGCCCAGAGTACTGCCACTTTCAGGCAGCCATTCCTGGGAGATTGCCCTGTAGGAGAAGCCTGGTTGTGCTTTGAATATGATGCTGCTGAAGCAAGCTTAGTGGATCTAGTCAAAAGAAAGAACATAGTAAAAGCAGTAAGAAAGATGGTTTGTAAAAGGTAATTAGCAGTAAAGAATTCAGCTACCCGGTATATCCCAAGAGATCCAAATAAATTAGAATCTTTTGAGAAAAAAGAAAGAGACAAGTATATTTACCATGTAGTATGTGAATGTTATAGGTGTACTGAAAAAGGAATAAACCCCTTTTGGAAAATGAAAAAGCCGTGTAAATATTGGGAATGCCCAACAGAAACTAACAACACATTTTGAGAGAGCCCTAAACACCTGGTTTTGATCTCTGGTACTACAGCATACACTAAATTGCCAAGAGACTGGTCTGGCAGCTGAAGCGCTCGAAAGACAAAACCTGTTATAAACAAAAATCTGCCAATTTTTGGTGAGAAAAAGGTTACGACTGTTGCTGCTGGGGTGCTGCTTGTGTGTTATGGTAATTACAGGTTGTTGTCGTTAATAGTTGTTTTTGTATCAGTAAAGCCCTAGCTGGGGCCGAGTTAATGGCTCTTCTCTGGGACAGTGAAGGGTGGGGACCTTTCCTAACAGTGAGGAGAAGAGACTTAGGAGCGGGGGGGGGGGGGGTGGGGGGGGGGTGGGGGGAGAGGGGAGAGACATGCAAAATAACCCCAAGAAGCTACTGCTTCGAGCTTGCTAAAAGGACCCCCAAAATAACAAGCCAACATAGAGCTGAGAGATTGGAGTGATGTCGAGACGTGAGGAACAGAGTGCTGAGCCTGCAGAGATGCTGAACACCTTTGTAGCCCCTCTCACCCTGAGCACGGGGGTCGTCCCGACTCCGGAGACCCAGAGAAAAAAAGGCAGTCATCAACATCTGCCTCCCACAAGAACCCCCAGCTCTGCCCCTAGTGGACAAAGCTGCGCTTATCCTCCTCCTCCTTGTCGCCCTGGGGGAGACGACGAAGACTGCAGACCCGTCGAGCTGCCCAATCCTGAGCTGATCACTTTTAATGAAGGCGTTAAAAGGAGAAAAAGTCTCCTGCCCTGTTTATTCCAAAACCAACTTTCTTCTTATTACCCAAAGCAACTGGATCAAGTTTATGAGTTCCTATATGCAATGATTTAAGAGAAACCAAACAGAAGAGGAAAAGTGCAATAGAAATTGGAAGAACCCAAAATTGTAAGGGCAAAGTTTGGTCCCCGATATCTATGTTAAACAGCATCATCAGGCTCCAGGCAATATTAGAGATAAAAAATGCAATTATTAGAAACATCTCAAAGGAAATTTAAAAAACAGCATATGTAAATAACCAAGAAAAAATTCTTACACTTGATTCCAGTTGGTGGGATAACCTATGGATTTTCAAGAAAGATTTATGGGGAAAAGTAGCTTTCCTCACAGTGTATATACTTGGAAGATTGCTCTTCTTACTATGCTTACTTCCCTGCTTCATTAAAATAGTAGTATTGGCCAGGCAGACCAACCTAAAGTTCTCAAAAATTTTAACCTGAAGAAACCAAGAAAGGTAACAAAGTTAAGTAACCATGATTACCAGAGTGCTCAAGAAATTTATAATCAATACAAATAAAATAAAGAAATATGATGCTCATGAGTCTGAAATTGCAAGTTGATGCGAGCTTAAGTTTAGGCTTGATCAAAGAAAAGGAGTAGGGACTGTTATAAGTAAAAAATCTGCCAATTTCTTTTCAAGAAAGGTTGCAGAATGAACAAGTAAAACCAGTTGCTGCCAAAGTGGAGTTCTGCCTATTTGATATTGGAATCACTGGTCGTTTTCGTTAATTGCTCCTTTTGTATCTGGAGGGTCCTGCCTAAAAGCCAGGTTGATGGCCCTTCTCACAGTGAAAGGAGGGGACATGGTGGGGGGACATCAGAGGGCATGCAAAATAACTTCAGAACCAGCATGCCATGGGAAAGTCACCCCATCAAACTAACCAAAAGACCCCAAAAACAATGAGCCGACACAGAATTAAGAGATCAAAGTGATGTCTGGACATGAGGAACAAAGTACCGAGCCTGCAGAGATGCTGAGGACCTTTGTTGCCCCTCGCCCTGACCAGAGACCTCAGCTGGAGCCAGGACCCCAGGACGGCAAAGCACGGGGTGTACAGCCACTGCTCTCGTGAGGACAGGAGCCCCAGCTCTGCCCCCTAGAGAAGAAAGCTGCACATTCCTCCTCTTCCGAGTCACACTGGGAGTGACAATGGAGAAGCCGCGGACCCGTCAAGCCTTCCAGCCTTCTGCTGATCATTTTTAATGAAGGCAATAAAAAGGAGAAAAAGTCTCCTGCACTGTTTATTTCCCTTGGGACATCTGCTACAGGGCTCCTCTCACCCCTGCATTGCTCCTCTCCTCCACAGTTCACAGTGTGCCAGCAGGTCTTGTCCGTGGATAGACCCAGCAGCCTGCAGGGCTGGAACTGGGGCTACTGCGGCCACTACGCCTTTTACCATGCCCTGTACCCCCGTGCCTGGTTCGTCTACGAGCTGCCGGGGCAGCAGGTGGTGCTCACCTGCCGGCAGGTCTCGCCCGTCATCCCCCATGACTATAAGGTAAGGTAAGGCGGGGACAGCATCCCCGAGGGCAGAGCTGCTTGTTAGCACCTTTCCCAGCGTTTTCCCGCTCCCGAGGGCAGAGCTCCTTGCTTGCTGCTTTCCCAGCATTTCACCACGGCTGCTGTCCAGCAGCGCTGAAGCAACGCGTTGAGAGTTGCTGGGCAGCCCATGAGAAGTGAGTGTCATGTCCTGCTGGTGGCACTGGGGAGGGGTGGGAATCAATGTTCTCCTCCAAAGGAGCAGCCCCTGATGATGCTCTTCCCTTGTTCAGGCTGGCACAGGAGTCACCCATGTGACGGCATTCAATCCCCTGGGATTGGGTAGAGAGGTGTGGCAGGACCTCCTGCAGGATGGCAGGCTGGATTCACCCCCTGGTGAGTGCCTCCTTCCTCCGTGGGATGGGTGCAGGGAGAGCAGGGCAAGTGGGTGGCCGTGCTGCTTGTGGGCACCCAAGCCAGGGCACAGCTCTTTCCTCCAGCCTGCTTGGCTCTTCAGAATCTCCCCAGGATGCTGTGGCTTGTTCCCAAATTTAGGCTGTATCCAAACTTCCTACTGCTTGTCTATTGGAATAATACCACAAGGCAACACTTGTCCTTGCTGTGGTTCTCCAAAAGCTGTTCATACCACTTTGGGGCTGTTCTTGACAGTTAGTGATGCTCTGACACACTATGAGGAGTGGGAGAGGAAGATCGAAGCGTGGCAGAATCCCATCCTGGAGGACAGGTAGGGCAGATGGGAGCACCTTCCCCGTGGCCTCCTGGGCTTGGCTGCCACAGGACCATCGCCGCCTCAGCCTCCGAGGCTGAGCTTCCCTCTTTCCCACAGCCAGCTGCCTTCCTGGTACAAGTCAGCCCTGTTCAATGAGCTCTACTTCCTGACGGATGGAGGGACCATCTGGATGGAGGTGCTCCCTGATTGCCGTGCCGAGGAGCTGCAGGGGCCGGCAGGGGCGGAGCTGTCCCACCTCCTCCCTGTCCTGCGGGAGTACGGAAGGTTTGCTTATTTGGAAGGTAACTCACAAGGATGTGAGGCATTCTCCAGCCTCAAGCCCTCCCATTACTGTAGCCATGTGTTCTGAACCTGCCATGGGGATGCTTTTCACACTCCAGTGGGTAGGGAGCAGTGCTATTCCCAGGGAAAGCCCTTGCAGCCCTGAAGGATAGGGCATGGAGTGTTCCCCACATGCCTGGTGCTCTGTGCAGAGAATGAAACCCTCATGGAATGGGAGCCCCTGCCTGTGCTGGGAAAGATGCCCCTCTCCAGGGCCCTGTGGAGGGAGGAGCTTTGCCCCTTGTCCCCTGCCCATGGCAGTCTCCTTTCCCTCACCACCTGCCCTGTCCTGCCAGGCCAGGAGTACCGGATGTACAACACCTACGATGTCCATTTCTACACCTCCTTCGCTCTCATCATGCTGTGGCCCAAGCTGCAGATCAGCCTGCAGTATGACATTGGTGAGTGTCCCCAGAGCCCTGCCTTGCTGCCTGCTCAGGCCTTCACCTGGGGAAGAGACAGAGCCTTGGGGACAGCTGCTGCTGCTGCTGCTGCTGCAGAGATGTGTGCCTTGGAGCCAGCATCCGCCTGCAGCCGCTCTGCTGTGCCCAGCACTTGCAGCCCTGGACTGTTGCTGCCCCAGCAGCTCTGTGCCCAGCACTGCGGGTGCCTTCTTGCCATGCTGGGGGTGCCCAGCTGGCTCTGCCTGCCCTGGGGGAGCCCCTGGTCTTCCCAGCTCTGTCCTTGCCCCTTGCACAGCAGACTTTGAGCTGTTTGCAGACGCCCAGTGGGCCATGGGCCACGGGCCATCACTCCAGGCTGAGCAGGGTCCTGCTGGCCTGCAGCAGCTGGGGTCCCAAGGAGCTCCATGTGATGGGTGGGCTGACAAAGAGGAGCCCAAGCCAGAGAGGGTCACAAAATTGCCTTCAGGGATAGTGGCAAGAGAGGTCACTACTGAGGAAAGGGAACAGGGGCAGTGATTGGTGAAAGAGCGGAGACAGTGTGTGTTTGCAGAAAAGCTTTATTGGGAGAATAAAGGTGGTGAAGGAGGTGCTGAAGGAGGTGCTGACCCAGGAGGATGGGCTACAACCTGGCTCTTCCTCTTCTCTGGGAGCTCCAATGCTACCAGCCCTCAATCCTTGAGAATATGCTTGCGCCGGAATATGTTGTAGCCAACCCTGAGGGGACACATTCAGAGGAAATGTCAGGGTGGGACATGGGAGTGCCCCAGTGCCCACCCAGCCCTGTACCCTCCCAAAACTTTTGCACCTTGTCAGGACGCCCAGGGAAGCTGTGCACAAGCACCCTGTCCTCTCTCACTTTCACACTGGCAGCAGCTCTGCCAAATGCTGAGCACCACAGGCTGGGAGCACCGCCCTTCATCCCCACCCTGGGCCATTCAGGAGTCCTTCTTAGGCCTTGGGCTTTGGAAATGCCTCTCAGGTGGTGAAGTTTCCCTCGAGCTTGTCACATACACTTTGCACACCAAGTCCTTCTGTTGCTTTATCAAGCAAACCAATATTCCAAAAGCCTTGGGGAATTACTTGCCTGAATCACAGCCCAAGTGGAACAGTGTTATCATTACTGGAACTGTGAAAAATTCCTGTAGTTGCCATCTCACACTACATCCAGGATGAAGACTGACTGATGACTAAGGTCAATCATCCCATGACTTTACCACAGCATTCCTAAGTGAGGCCCCTCAATGCCAGCCTGGATCTAGAATTAAATCTCTGCTGTAATTGTGGTAAACCCTCCCAAATCACCTTATCAATGTTAAATTAGGCAATGGTTAAGTGCAGCCATGTCCTGTAGACAGAAACCATAGAGCAGGTCTGAGACTGAGAGCGGAACCAGCCCCAGCTCAGATCCATCAGTAGTTTAGAAAGCAGAGGGCACCTTCCTGAACTTTCTGATTCCTTTGAAGGGTCTCTCATCTCCTTCTCCATCTCTTGCCTCCATGTAAATCATTCTAGATTGATTTTAACCCATTTTCTCCTTCCTATGTTTTACCCCTGCACAAAGCAATCAAGTGAATCTTGCCATGGAGATTTGCTAAGTCCTGTTTTTGCAAACAGAGATTAAACCTCCTTTTGCCAACGCCTGTGAGAGTGACTCCTAAGTGACCCAAATCATATATTTGTGACAGCCCAAACCCCTCAGGAGTGCACAGGGTACGTGTGCAGGGCAGGGACAGAGAGCTCACAAGGTGGCTTTCCAGTCATCTGTGCGGCTCCGTACGTGTGACCTCAGCAGCCACATGGTCTTCAAAACCTCCTTTCCATTAGCATCCACAAAGCACTGGCCCGTGAAAACAGTGATGGTATCTGTGGGGACAGGACAGGAGGTGGAGGGGAGCGTGGCCAAGGTGGCAGGTCAGTGCCTGTCCCAGCACAGGGGACAGTAGACCCCTGCTGTCCCCGGCCTCTGGGCACAAAGGGGATGGGGAAAGCAGCAGGAGGGCTCACAGGGCTGGGGTGTCACACGGACATGGGCAGGCAGTGCAGGCTCCAGCCCCTGCTGCCCCTCCTGCAGCCGCTGGAGCTGGCAGCAGCCGAGGAGCTCCAGGGACAGGGATGGGGGAGCTGCAGGGAGGGAGAGCAGTGGGGATAGTGCAGGGGAAGGCAGGGAATCAGCAAGGACACTGCAGGGGGGGCAGAGGGGAGGTCTGGGGACACAGCAAGGATGCTAAAAAATGTCTACATACTTGTAAAATTCCAGTGGACAGTGAAACCAAAGGTGGGCTGGCTCCAATATGGGAGCTGCTGGGACCCCACCAGAGGTGATTCCTTGATCTCTTCTGGGGAACTCTTCACTTTTGTGAGGTACCTTCCAGTGAAGTCACCATTTTCCTTTACTTCATCAATGGTCATGTTGGAGCCCAGGTCATTCTGCCATTGCCCAGTCAGCTTACACTGCAGAGGAAAGAACTCAGCACTTGTGGCACAGCACAGCCTGCAGCCACAGCCCCCCTGCCCACCCCACCCTGTGCATCCCAGCCCTGATGGTACCTGCTGGGTAGCCTGGAGGCCATGAGCCCCCAGGGCCAGGAAGAGCACGAGGAGCAAGGGAGTTGCTTGCACCATCTCTGCAGCAGGCAGGCAGCTGATGGACCTGGGGATGTGCTCCTTGCAGGTCTCTGCTGAGGCTCCTGCTCCCTCTCCTTTTTATTGCTGCCAGATGGGTGCGTGGCAGCTCTGGGCAGGACATTGTGAAATCTGGGTGTCCCCAAATTTATCAGCTATCAGAGGGGCTCATGACAGTTGTTCTTCCCAGAATGCCGTTGTTCCAAGATAAATGCAGGTGGACAGCCCAGGTGACATGCTCCAGTATTGTGGTGCCACAGTACCCCTCTAGCCTCCTTCACTGACCCCAAGGGAAAGCTTCTTTGCATCTTTGTCCCTCTCCATTTATTGTGGGCTCTGACGTGGGAAGATACCAGCAGGTGCAGGAGGGCCACATATGGGAGTTTGCTCTTGCTGTGTAACATTATTCCTCTGGCCAGAAATTCTCCCCTGGGAGCAAAAAAAAGCATTTGTCACAAATGGCAACACTGGAGAAGCATAATGATCTGCTGAAGAATGGAAAGGAGAGGGAGAGGGAGAGGGAGAGGGAGAGGGAGAGGCTACTTCATATCTGCCAGCCCTGATAGCTATTGAAGATTAAGGATGCACTTTGGCACTGAAGAAGTCCTGCCATGGCCAGAAAGAGATAAAAGCCCTTCTTGTGGTGTCCCCAGAACTCCTCCACCCTTTCTGTGGTGTCCCAGAGATCCAACGTGTTTCCTGTGGTGTCCTCAGAGCTCCCACACTCTGCCTGTGGTATCTTTAATGCTCTTCTCACTTGCTGCCCTTGCTGTGCTCCCTGCCAGCTCACTCAGTGTTCCCCTGAGACTCCATCACTATCCAGAGGGATTGGGGCTCTCCTATCTCATGGGTGTCCCTTGGCAGGAGGCTCAGCCCCCTCTGATATAAAAGGAGCAGAGTCTGGGCACCACACACGGCCACCAGCACCATGGGCACCCAGGGCTGCTGCTGCTGCTTGCCCTGGCCCTGCTCATGGCCCGTTCTGCTGCATCCAGGGAGGTGAGAGCAGCCCTGGGGCAGTCTGGCTGTGCTGAGCCGTGCTGTGCTGTGCTGAGCTGTCCCAGGTGCAGGGTGAGGGTGAGGGGCTGCATGCCCTGGCAGTGCCATCCCCGTGGTGTGTGTTTTCTCTGTGCCATGCTCTGCCACCCCAGCACACAAAGGTTTTGCCTGAGGGGCTGCAGGTTCTGGGTGCACCGTCCTCTACCATGCTGGGCCATGCCACAGGGCAGTGTCCATGATCAAGGAGGCTGCCAGCTCTGGCTGTGCTTTGCTGGGGCTGCTGTGGGTCACCTCCCCCTTCCACCGGGTACCTCCAGCTCTGCTGCCCTGCCCAGAGGCTGAGGGTTGCTCTCCTGAGGGCTGCCCATGCGCTGGTCACAGCTGCCAAGGCGAGGGGCTGTGCCATGGGACACACATGCCCTGCTCAGCCAGGCTGAACGTGGGACTGAGCCTGGGCACTGACCGAGCCACCACACAAGCCCCAGGCTCACCTGCAGGGCCTGTGGAGAAATGAGCTGGGCTCTTACATGACCCTTTTGGCCCTGAACACAGCTGGGACCTCCTTGGGCTCCTGGCACAGCGCAGCAGCAGCCACCAACAAGCAGATCCTGCTGTCACCCCTGCAAGGAGCCCAGCAGCCAAGAGCTGCCCCAGCTTTGGCTTCACTGTGCAGCGGCAGCTCCCAGGTACAGCAGTGACAGCACCCCCTGCCTATGCTGGGAGTCCCCTGGCTGGCACTCCCAGTCCCTCGTGGCACCCACAGGAGCCCTGGAGTGGACGCAGACCTGCCCACGCATCTGCCCCTGCCTGGGGAGATGGAGGGGATGCAGGACATGGGATTATGGGGGTGACTATCTGGGACAGTGCCACAGGCAGAATGGGAGCTTCAGACAATGTTTATTAAATAAGCCCTCCAGCTGAATCACAAGGTTCAGAAAGCACTCTCTTGCATTCTAGAATCCTGCCCGCTGAAGAGTTTGGGCAGAGCTGGATCCAACTTAGCCCCAGGTTTTGTCAATGGATTGTGTCTAAAGGATTATACATGTGGAACAGAAATTTTATACAATATAGTACCACAGCATTGAGGATGGCAAATCAGATATATTTATATAAAAACAAATAATTTATTATGATAATTAGACAAAAATATCTTTGTAAGAATTAATTACTACAGATTAGAAGCTATAGCAATTTCTATAGTATGATGCAGTATTTTCAAGCAGAATTTAGTATATTAAAGCGAGCTAGGCCAATTAGAAAGTAGACCCTGAAGTTTCTCATACCAGTAATTGTGGGCAAATCTCTGTGGTTCAGCCTCAAGAAGGGGGTATCCCCATGCAAGGGAGGAATCTCCATACACACTCTGGGAAGGAGGGTTTTAGAAGACCTTGACCTTAGAAATTGGGGGCAAGCTTTTACAGTAGAATGTGACTTGGCTATCAGCAGGATGTCAGCTGTGGCAGTTCAGCAGCTTTAGATACATTATCAGTAGTAGCACTTGCTGGTTTCCTTTCTTGGTTCTTTTCCAGTTCTATCAGACCTTCACAGCGCTATTTAGGATGTTGAACTTCAGGGACTGATGAGTCAGACTCATTTCAGCATTGTTCAATACTAAAAGCACCATGACACCCCTTTCTCCATTCACCCCTGCAAATAGGGAATTGCAAATATTTGCAAATAGGGAATTGTTCAAGTTATTTCACCCCCACTGCAGGCACAGCATCCTGATACAGAAATGGGACTGGGGTGTCACTCTCTCTGTCCTAGGGATAGTGTGCGCCTCTGTCCAGGAGATCTGTGTTTCTGTGGGCACAACAGGAGCTCCCTCCTTTCTATCCATCCCACACCAGGAATGCACAGCCTTCAAATGCTGCAGTGGCAGAGAAAGAAGGAGAAGGAGGCAAGGTGCCCAGCCCTGCACCAAAGGGACTCGGTGTAGTCGGGAGCCTGCAGCCCCGTGGCTCAGCTGTTGCCCACAGAGGCCTTCTCAGGAGGAATGCTCTCTCCTCTGCTGCTGGCAAGGCAGGGCAGAGCCAGGAGCCAAGCAAGAAGCTCCTGCTCTTACCTGCTGCTATTATTACATGTGGAGAAGTTGGTAAGGAGGCACATGCCTGGTCCCTTCAGCAAAACTCCACAAGAGCCCGACACCACTGGGATTGTCCCCGCCCTGCCCCCTTGCCCTCCAGCCTAGTCCAGGAAGACAAAGGGGAATTCCAAGAGTTTCCTCTTCCACTTTGGTCCTGTGCCAAAGAAGACACCGAAGAAGAACGAGAGTAGACAGCTGGACAGATTTATTAAGAACTGAAGTGATTTATCCCCTTTCATGTGCTCCACTGCCTGCCCCCGGCGCCAGCAGTGAGGGGGCCATGGTACCAGACCAGGACCTGCTTCTTGGGCTCAGATTGTCACTGTCCAGGGAGCCGGGTCTCCCCTGGGGATTGTATCTGCCACAGGCCCTGCTGGGGCAGAGCCCCTCAGAATGTGCAGTGTCACCCCAGGACAACTACAGCATCCGTGTGCCTGAGTGCACCACTCCAATATCCTCACACACACATTCACCCACACCCTCTTCTTTCCCTGCAGCACAGCTGCCCACCTCACCCAGCCCAATGCCTGCAGGAGAGAGGTCTCCTGTGCCTCTGGGCAAGGTACCAGCTGCAGTTTGGGATGGCTGGGCAGCCTGCACGCTCTCAGAGCCCTGAGTGATGGGGAAGGGGAGGCACAGGCTCCAGCAGCAACTCCTTAAGCCACCATGCTCTGAGGAGACATCCCCCACAACTCTGGTCCCCCCTTGTGCTCAGCACCAGCAGCTGGAAGCCCTCTGAGGTCAAGGGCACGTAGTGGAGGTAGGGAAGGAAAACAGCAATGTGAGTACTAGCACAGAGAGGGAGGGGAGCGTCCCTGCCTGCCATCTGCACCTCCCAGCCCCTGGTGCCCTGCCCAGTGCCACGAGGCTCAAGGGTGGCTGTGGCCCTGGGCGAGCTGTGCCCGGCCAGCACGGCGCTCCAGGGCCAGCTGCATGCTCCAGATGCTGAGGGGCCGCATGTAGGCCAGCGAGCGGTACACCTTCTTCTCCCGGTAGGCCTCCGGCGTCTGGAAAGCCATGCCCAGCCGCTCCCACACCGTCCGGTAGCAGCCCTCCGCCGTACGGAAGCCTTCCTCCACCATGCCCTGCACGAGAGGGAACAGCGCCATCAGCACGCCCACGGAGCACACCCTGGTGAGCACAGCAGCAGCAGCAGCACAGCAGCATCCTCCCTCCTCACCTCCTGGATCATGGTGGCAGCCAGGGAGTAGACCACGCCGACCCAGACCTCGTTGGACTGCACGCTGGAGGTGTCGGGCACGCCGTCGGGCCTCATGCCGTTCACGGCGCCCATGGTGCCGCCTGCGAAGCCCAGCACGTTCTTCTCAAAGATGGTCTTGAGCGCGCTGAGGATGTGGCTCTTGGGGAAAACCTGGGCGGACAGAGACAGGCTTGGTGCTCATGTGGACCCCTCAGGCTGGGGCTGGAGCGGGATTGAAATTCCCGTGAGGAAAAGGGGAACACAGCCCGCTGGGTCAACAGACACAAATGCCCACCTCAAACAATGACAGGAGGAAGTGAAACGTCTCTTTCCCCGAAAGGTTTAAAAAGCCCCCAAAATACTTTACAGAGACATGCTGAACCACATTCCACATTGCTCAAGAGGACGTTGACAGTTCATCTAACGAGCTGATCTCCAGAAACAGTTTCTCACCCACAATCACTGGCCAAGCCCCTCCCCCATTGCTTGTGGGTTTGCTCTGGGGGCCTGGTCAACCACATCTGCTTTATTGCTGTCACTTGCAAGAGAGACAAGAGCCATGGGGCTCATCAGCTCAGCCTAGGGACATGCCAGACACTTATTGCCAGTCTGGTGACACCAGAGCCAGGGGAAGCAGAGGCTGGGATGACACCAGGCAGGACCTTGCCAGGGAAGGCTGGGCAGTCCACAGCAAAAGCAGCAAATCTCTCCTCTCTACGCTCAAGCCAAGCATCCCTGCAGACATTT